TTTAAAAAATTTTATTTTTTAGGGGCGCCTGGGTGGCTCAGTCGTTAAGCGTCTGCCTTCGGCTCAGGTCATGATCCCAGGGTCCTGGGATTGAGCCCGCATCAGGTTCCCCGCCTTGCGGGAAGCCTGCTTCTCCCTCTCCCACTCCCCCTGCTTGTGTTCCCTCTCTCTCCGTGTCGCTCTCTGTCAAATAAATAAATAAAATCTTAAAAAAAAAAATTGTCACTTTGTCCCAAGATTATGTTTCCCAGGAGCGCCCGGGGGGCTCAGTCCGTTGAGCATCTGACTTGTTTTGGCTCAGGTCATGATCTCAGGGTCCTGAGATCAAGCCCCATATCAGGCTCTCTATGGAATTCTGCTTCTCTCTCTCCCTCCCCCTACTTGCGTACTCTCTCTAAAATAAATAAAATCTTTTTTTTTAAAGATTATTTTCCCAGAAAAATAAAATCATGTTAAAACCAGTGGTTTCATTCCTGAACTAACTACTTATTCTGCTGAAATCCTGCAGATTTATTATGCGTATTAAACTGGTTTTCCTTCTGTCTGTAATGCTCTACTTTAAGTAAATGTTAATTAGAAGCCAAAATGATAGCTAGAACGTCATTGAGGTAGCCAGTTTCAAAGGAACACCTGAAATCTTAAGAGGCTTTAGAAGATTTATAATATTTTGTGAATGAAAAGTGTATTTTCTTTTTAGTTTGCCACTAAACAACACACACTAACCACAACTGGTAAACCTTGAAGCTATTTGGGTGATTTTTTTTCAAATAGGGTTAATAAATTGGTCCAAGAATAGAGTTGGTAAAAAGAAAAAATTGCATTCATATTGGCATTATTATTGATCAGCTTGAAGTAAGGGAAATCATGCAATTAGTCATAACATTACCAGTTTTATGATACCTATGCTTACATCAGCATATATACTGAGAACTGAGATTGGAATGTTTTAAATAACCTAATCATACACTTCCTAAAATATGTTCTAATTAAACCTTGATTAATGTGGAAGCTGAATGAGGTTAATTCAATGAGTTTATTACAGACCAAGGATTCAGCTCAGGGTCCATGAGCCCTATGAAATTTCAAACCTTTTTTTTTTTTTTAGAGATTTATTTATTTATTTTAGAGAGTGTGAGCATGAAGGGGGGAGGGGCAGAGGGAGAGAGAATCTTGAGTGGACTCCCCACCGAGCAGAGCCCAAGGCTGGACTAGATACCAGGACCCTGAGATCATGACCTGAGCCAAAACCAAGAGTCGGACGCTTAACCAACTAAGCCACCCAAGTGCTCCAGAACTTCATTTTTAAAAAATTTTTATTTTCTTTTTAAGATTTTCTTTGTCAGAGAGAGCACAAGCAGGGGGAGCTGGAGGCAGATGGAGAAGCAGGCTCCCCTGCTGAGGAAGAAGCCCAATACAAGACTCGATCCCAGGACCCTGGGATCATGACCTGAGCCGAAGGCAGACACTTAACCGACTGAGCCACCCAGGCATCTCAGAACTTCAAACTCTTTAGTACATCTTTCGTAGCTTTCATCTGAATCTCATAGGCGTTATCAAGATGCTTAAGAACCAGGGTGCCTGGGTGGCTCAGTCGGTTAAGTGTCTGCCTTCAGCTCGGGTCATGATCCCAGGGTCGTGGGATCGAACCCTGCATCGGGCTCCCTGCTCGGCAGGAGGCCTGCTTCTCCCTCTCCCGCTCCCCCTGCTGTGTTCCCTCTCTCGCTGTCTCTATTAGATAAATAAATAAAATCTTAAAAAAAAAAAAAGATGCTTAAGAACCACTGCTGTAGGGGTCCCTGGGTGGCTCAGTCATTAAGCGTCTGCCTCCGGCTCAGGTCATGATCCCAGGGTCCTGGGATCCAGCCCCGCATCAGGCTCCCTGCTCTGTGGGAGGCCTGCTTCTCCCTCTCCCACTCCCCCCGCTTGTGTTCCCTCTCTCGCTGTCTCTCTGTCGAATAAATAAATAAAATCTTAAAAAAAAAAAAAAGAACCACTGCTGTATACCATTAAGGTGAGAATTAGAGACAGACTAACATTAAGTATGTGAGAAGCATCTCTGATAAGCAGTGTGCTACATTTATCTACATTATCATAAACCTCCCAATTACACTGTGAAATTAAGTGGTTTTACCTTACAGATGAGTTAACAGGTTCTGAGACAAGTGACACATCCATAACTACAACTCCTAATGGAAAGCAAGCTACTAGTTTGGTTTTAAATTCTTTAGTATTAAAAAAAAAAATCTACAAATTCATGATGAAAAAATCAAATTTATTACAGAAATAATTTAATAAATCAAAGTGACCTATAACATCTTCTCCCAGACATACTTTTAAGAGTTTAAGGCATCCTTTCTCTGTATCTTTTTTCTGTGCATGTAATACTTTAATGGTCATGTCATTATACAAATATGCCAAAACCGACCATTCCCTAGAAAGTTTTGAGGTACTGAATGTTTTTAAAAACATGATGTAACAGTTTTTAAAGGGCGCTAGAAATGTTAGCCTATTTATAAAATTGAGGAAATGGTTCAGCCTTTATCTAAAAGCCTAGACCAGCACTGATTAGAAGTATTCAACAAGCCATTAATTTGACAAAATGAATTAAGATATGAGACAGTAAGTGATCTGGGGAAAATCTGAGGTTTATGAATGGCCCTGAATACTATGTACACTTCACTGTTCTATATAGTCACTGGTAAATACTGTTTAACACAAAGTTCCATTACCTGTGACAAAATCAGAATTAAGGTTTCTCTGAATCATTAGAATTATAGCACCCAATCCACCACCATTCAATTTTTACAACCACTCAGAAGGTTCTGGGGACACAAAGATGTTCTGTAATTGCAATCTATAACTACAGGATAATTTTTAAATTCTTTTTGAGATTTTTTTTTTTTTAAAGATTTTATTTGTTTTTTGACAGAGAGAGAGACAGCGAGAGAGGGAACACAAGCAGGGGGAGTGGGAGAGGGAGAAGCAGGCTTCCCGCCGAGCAAGGAGCCCGATGTGGGGCTCGATCCCAGGACCCTGGGATCATGACCTGAACTGAAGGCAGACGCTTAACGACTGAGCCACCCAGGTGCCCCTCTTTTTGAGATTTTATATTTATAGTGTTTTAATAAGTAGACTAAAGGCATGGAACTCAGTAATAACTGGCTAAACTACATAAAAGTATTTTGATTAATGACATTTCTGTTTATAAAATGCAGATGGAAGAGACTGAAAGTAATAAATTAAAACACCTTGTTTTTCATCTGAACTTTACTTCTCTCTGACAGAAAATGTATCCATTGGGTACATATCTGTTTTGTAAGCCAATTACTCCAGCTTCAAGTAACCCTAATCCAGTTTTGTGTCACATTTTTCATCTTTATAAGGGCGTAAAAAATAGAAACTAAACTCCTAAAGAATATGTATTCAAAAGAAATTCAAAGTCCTATTTGCCTTCCAATGGAGTTTGGGCACCAATTATGCAACTACGTTTTGGTTAGGGTTAGTCGACCCCCACTCCCCACCAAAAAGAAGGTAACGTTAAAATCTCAAACCAGACTGTTAGTAGGCTCGCTATTTTTAACATCCTTTTGCTTTAATCTTTTGGCAGTTCCATAATCACCTAAAATGCAAGTCACTAAATCAAACGCCATCCAGCTCTCCGGTTGTTCTAAGCAGGTCACAAATGTGTTGAAGCGATCAACCTCATTCTCTTACTGGAATGTCCTACTGAATCAATCTTGTCTCCACACTATCTCACCTTTACTCAGCCTGATGTCAAAGCAAATGAACAATGAATATTCCTGAAAAGACTAGTATTTCCAATAGTTTAGAAAAAGTCTGGGTGAGAGTTACAAGAAACTATTACCTAAACTTCACAACTAATTTGTAGCCATTCTTAATAGTTTTGGGGAGCCCAAGTCAATGCTTTTCCCGCCCTCTTCACTTTCCTTTAATTCGCAACACAAAGAATAGGGAAAGTAAAAAACGAAGGCAGCGACACCATTACAGCCCACTTCAAATTTAGAACCTAAGCAACATGAAAGCACAAAAATATCCGCAGTGTCTCCCAGCAGAGACTAAGACAGACGACCGCCCTGCTGCCAAGCTCCGTCGTTGTTTCGTTAGGGTCAGGAGGCCCACTCCCCCACCAAATGATGCCCCGGCGACTTGAAAAGCGCGGGCAGGCTTGGCAGCCAGTGACCGGCATACAGCAGCTCTTGGGAAAGCAGAGCCCTCTCCCCAAACCAAAGGCCTCGGCTGGCACCGAGAGCCCCCAGGGAGCGGTCAGGCGTCTTTTTCTGTCCTAGCCCTCCCTACCACTTTCCTCCCAACGGGGCGACACTCGGCAATCCCTAGGCAAAGCCCAACCAATCTCCAGAACGCGCTCCAGGAAGCCAACCGGGAGACCCAAGGCCACCTCCTAGCCCCTGTGGGGAAAATGGCGCCTGTCACTCCATCTCCCTCCCGGCTAGTCACAAGGGCCAGCCTCCCTCCCTCACTACAAAATGGCGCCTCCCGCTGGGGCCCCAGAACCGGCATAAATCACTTGTCTGCGAGGCGGTATCTCTCTAGGCTGAGCGGTTCGGCCAACCAGTCAGACAGAGGAACTTTGATTCCGCCCTTTGCACAAACCATTCAGGCGCTGGCTGCAAGGCCAGACGAGGCTAACGTCACGGAAAGGGGGCGTGAATGAGGCGGTCTCCTTTCGCGTCGCCTAAATTTGAGCCAATCGCAAGCAGGAAGCGTCTCGTGAGTGACGTAATGACCGCCCAATGGAGACTGGGGGCGGGCCTCAGACTCGCTATGCGGGTTGCGGGGCCTGGGGGCCGGGCGGCTGTTTCCTGTCCTGGTGCATGGTGGTCGGACGAAGGAATTGTTGGAAAATTTTCTCGGAGGTTCGTATATAAATGTGTTTTTACCCAGTGTGCATTATTCTCCGCCCGGCCGCCGCCCTCAGCGCGGCGGCGCGGGCCCGCTCGGGCCCGGGCTCTGACTCCGGCTCCTCAGCCTTCGCCGCAGGCCCTGCCGATCCTACGGCCGGCCTCGGTAGCGGCGCCTGGGCAGAAGCGGAGTTTATTAATAACCCGCGGCCGCCACTCTGGGGCGGCGGAGCTTTTCTCGCTGAGGACGCACCCTCCCCCCCTTGTCTCTGCGCGTTGCGCCCCGCCTGTTCCCCTCAGGGGACCGCCGAGGGGAGGGAGTGAAAAAGGGGAGGGTGGAGCCCTCGGGAGCCTGGCGGCGCTTCTCGGCTTGACCTCCGCGCGGGGCGAGTCCCCAGACGCCGCCGAAGCAAAGCTCCTCCGGCCGGGACGCCGACGCCGGGCCACGGTCCGCACCAGGCCCCATCCCGACGTCGGCGGCAGGACTGGCCCAGGGCCCGCTCAGGATCCCGTCTGCAGATCGCACCCAGAATTTCCTCCCACCCATATCGTGCACAAATTTCTTGTTTCTCTCACTTTTTTTTTTTTTTTTTTAATTTTTAGGTTACTGGGGCCTAACATCGAATATTAGAAGTTGTCAGTTTTATCATTGCCCCTTTTTCTCGGTTTTGGCCAGAGTTAACGAATCTTTCAGTTGCTTTGTACTATATTACTGTGGGACGTGAACCGATTTTTATTCCCTCCCCTGTTGCTTCTTTTAAAGCATTTTTTTCCCCCATTAACGAAGCTAAGCAAAAAATAGGAAGAATACCATTGCTAAACCCATTATTTGTTTAAAATACGCTTCAGCCTTTGAGGTGTTTAATCAGCTGGTATGATCAAGTAGGGGTGTGATGAAAAATTGTAGGTTCAAGGTTGTGGTCGTCTTATTCCTGAGTGTTACTAGAAGATACACGTTTTGCTGAGTTAAAAATCTGTGCAGTATTTAATGTTTGCTCTTACTGGATGCCTAGTTTAAGTTCATTATTAAAGTGTTTAGTAAGAGAACAGGTGATGAGATCATTAAGATAAGATGCATAACTAATTTTATCCAGGCGTATCTTGACTACTTTGGAAATTATTGGCGGTTTACAAATACTTGAGTGGCTGTTTTTCTATAGCACCCTTTTATTTTTTAAAAATAATATCTTTATTGATATAATTTGCATACCTTACAATTCACCCATTTGAAGTATATAATTAGGTAGGTTTAATAAATTTTGTTGTGCCCCCATCACCACAGTCCATTTTAAAACATGTTCATCACCCCTAAAAGAAACTACCAGTTAAATTACTCCCCATTTACCCTTAAGTCTGTCCCCTTCCCCAACCACTAATCTACAGATTTGCCTATTCTGAACATTTCATGTAAATGGAATCACACAGTATGTGGGCTTTGTGACTGGCTTTTTTCACAGCATATTTGCAAAGTTCATTAATGTTATAGCTTGTGTTAGTACCTCATTTCTTTTTATTGCCAAATAATAGTTCATTGTATGGACCTAAGTTTTATTTAAACATTCATCTATTGATGGACATTTGAGTTTTCACTTTTTGTCTGTTACGCTGCTGTGAACATTTGTGTACAAGCTTTTGTGTGGACATACGTTTTCTTCTCTCTGAGATATTTTTATATACCTAGGAGTAGAATTTCTTGGTCATACAATAACACTATGCTCAACCTTTTGAGGAACTGTCAAATTTTTCCAAAGTGGCCGCACCATTTTGCATTCCTCTCAGCAATGTGAGAGTTTTCATTTCTCCATATCCTTGCCAACACTTGTTATTATCAGTCTTTCTGATGGTAGTCCTCCTAGTGGGTATGAAGTGGTATCTCTTGTGATTTTGACTTGCATTTCCCAATGTTGTTAAGCATGTTTTTCATGTGTTTGTTGGCCGTTTGTATGTCCTTCTTTGGAGAAATGTCTATTTGGATCTTTTCCCCATTTTGAAATTGGATTGTTTGTCTATTATTGATTTGTAAGCCTTCTTTGTGTAAAAGTCTTTATCAAATAGATGATTTGTAAAATGTCCATAGCCCTTTGCTGCAAGCTGGGATATTACAGTGGAATATGCATTCATCATGTTCTTCATGGAATGATGACCTAGCTAGATTGGGGAATTATGCCTCCACCATTACTTTAGCCATTATTACTTATGATGCATATGCAGTTTATGATCATGTTAGGAGAACTTTCTTTCTTGGTTGATTGATTGATTGATTGATTTTAAGGGGCACCTGGGTGGCTCAGATAGTTAAGCGTCTGCCTTCGGCTTGGGTCATGATCTCCAGGTCTTGGGATCGAGCCCTGTGTCGGGCTCCCAGCTCAGCAGGGAGTCTGCTTTTCCCTTTCCCTCTGACTCTCCGCATTTGTGCTCTCTCTGTATCTCTCTCTGTCTCTTAAATGAATAAATAAAACCTTTTAAAAAAATAAAGATTTATTTATCTGAGAGAGAGCATGAGAGAGCGCAAGCAAGGGGGAGAGGGAGAAACAGACTCCCCACTGAGCAGGGAGCCCCATGCTGGGCTCAGTCCCAGGACCCTGAGATCATGACCAGAGCCAAAGGCAGATGCTTAACGGACTGAGCCGCCCAGGTGCCTCAGGAGAACTTTCTGAGTCCTGAGGTTTTTGTGATTACTTAATTTTGAAGTTTTTATCTAGTTCTTGTTTTTGTTTAAATCTGAGGTTTTACTTAGTTCTGAGTCTTTTTGCCCCTGGCTTGATTTCAGGACATAATGATTTCTTAAAGAGTTGTGTTGTGTCGCTGCTCCTTTCTGTGCTTAGTTTGCATTCATTTTATTTTTATTTATTTATTTATTTATTTATTTTTAAAGATTTTATTTATTT